TAAAGCTAAATCCCTTGTTAATCTTGCGTTAATACTAATTTTCAGTCATTAGTATCGTAAGATAACAATACCATTATTTCGATTTTGTAAATGTATTATTATAGCATCGATATTGAATTAATATTGTATCAGTATCATAAATATATTGAATCGATATCAAATTTATAACAAATCGATGTTATGTATATATTGTTTTAATATCGTATCGACATCATTTTGACATAAATATGATATCGAATTAACATCGTAACTTTATTGTATCTATATCATATCAATACCATTTTGATATTAATATTAATATTGTATCAATACTATTTCGATATTAATATCATATCAATATCATATTTACATTGAAATGATGTAGTAAAAATAAACTTAATGACCTTGATTCGATTATCGTTAAAGTATGGTAAAATTATCATTAGAATTTTGGGAGTTTCTGTAAAGTATAATGGATCTTATAATTTAAATGAACTAAACAAGATTATGCATCTATATATTAATAGCTAGTATAAAGTATATAAATGTATTATGTAATTAAAATTCAATATTTTAATTTAATTGTATATCAAGTGCATTCTGTACATTCTATTCATATATAATATCTATTATCACACAGACTTTGTGTAAAACAAACTGATTAGTTATATTACATTTCGCATAACATAACCAATCAGTTAGTGAATCAAATATATTTAGCAAAAAAACTCTAATCTGTTTGAATAAAATTAGCAAAAATTTTTCCAATATCTTTCTGTACATTTTAGGTGACCAATCTTATATGACCGAACTATGCTATAATTATAAACTTGAGTATATTGCTTAAACTATTATAGGTAAGATAATATTCTGTTTCATTTTTATACTATTTGTTATATAATCTATAATTCCATATTTTCCATCACAAATAGAATATGACAAGCCTTATTGCTAAGCAATTATAAAATTATAATTATTAATCTCTTATAATTATTTAAGAATTTTAAGTATATAAAATACTTTAATACAGATTTGATAATTAATTCTGAATCAGGTTTTACTTTATAAATGATAAAAATGATAAGCTTAAAATCAGAGGTTTGAAGTTTTTCAAATATATTTGTCACAGCTTTTGTCAATTGTTATAGTAGGGTTAGAAGTATATGTTAGTATAATAATTCGTACAATTAATACTGTTAGTACTAAAGATGGATATCATAATTAAAATGTTGCAATATCATATAAATTTTTTAATAATTATAACATGTGTTATAATTTAAAAAATATTGCAATTTAAAATATAAGTTATAATTAGTGTAACTTGAAACATAAATTAATTACAAATTTTTAAGATAATAATGTGAAATATTAATTATAATTAATCATAATAAAAATTTAAATAATATATACAGATCTACTCTTAAAAAAGAAGGTATATAATTAGTATCGAAAGATGGCAGAAAAAAATGGCAGTATTTACATCTTATCGAAACTTAATTTTTGTTAATGTATTAATTATATTTTATATTACAAAATTTCAATTTTAGAAATAGTCACAAGATTCATAATTCTTTTCACTGTTGTACTTATATGTTTGGTCATTTCTTTTTGATAATACATAGTAAGGTTTTGAAATTGAAATAGGAGATCGCTATCTAAAATCCATTTGGCTGGATTAATAGCCAATTTTTGTGTTTCGAGTCTAATTTTTATTAAAATAAATGAATGAATATGAATGTCATTAATTATAATAAAAAGTGTGTATTAAGTTGATAAATATAATTAACAAAGTACTTGAAAGCTTTGGAATTTAAACCTATGATATGTTATAATCCAGTCACAATCTTAAAATATAAAGTTGAATAAATAGTAAAATTATTCATTTACCTTTGGTCTAACACAAGCTAATAAGTATCCTTTAACATCACAAATTGCAGTTACAAAACGTTTCACCTCTTCATGACACAATAACTTATACTTGATATTTGTTTGCAAATTATCTAGTTCAAGAACAATTTCGATTATTTCAAATATATATACCTGTTGTTACCGGCCAAAAATTTACTATTGAAAAGTTGATCTACAAAGAATTATTAGATGATCTACAGAAGTTACTGAAATTAATTTATATCGATTACAAATTAGAAGATTTGCATAATTCTGGATTTTGATGATTCTTAGGATCCACAGGATTCTGGAGATTCGTAGGATTCTTAGAATTTACTGGATTCTTTGGATTATCATGATTCGTTAGATTTTCATAATTTCCATTATTTCTATTATTTTGATTATTATCGTTATTTTTCTTATTTTTATTATTTTTATTATAATTATTATTATTATTATATTTACACTTGTAATTACAAATTTAGTTAGTTTATAGCGTAACAATTAGTTAGCTATAGCCGAATTAATTTTGTATAAATAGAATAGCTTTTTGCTTATGTTATAAAATAACTCTCTTGTAAGTTCTAAAATACTTGTGAGTTTCAAGTAATAAAGGAATCAACTTTAAAAAAACAATTACTTTTCCCTTCTACGTGTCTATCATCTAGGATTTGATCGTGAACTACTACACTAACTTGCGACTGAGTTCATCACTTAGAATAAATAAATTCTCTAAATTTCTAAGTCCCTAAACCCTTAAGTTCATAAACCAAGTGAAATAATTCCAAGGCATTCTGGATACCTGTAGGATGTGAGATTCCCTAAGGTTGTAAAATCTGATAATAAGGAAGTTACTTACCGTAGCAAAGGAACTTAGATATATTACGTGAAGTAATAAAAGAAGATTATTTCTGGTGACACTGTAAACAATTAAAATATAAAATTAGATCAAATAATTTTTTTTTAAAAAAAAAAATTTGTTATGTACATTTCCTTGCATGATCACATCATCACCTTGGAAAATACCTGTACCAATAGTAATAAAAGATTTTTGTCTACTGGATGTAAATTTCGTTTGAAGATTTACGTATTTGATGCAAAAAATTTGTTCATCTTGCAAAAAATCATAGCTATAAACAACAGAAATAAAATGATAAGGTAAACAAAATATCAAGATAAAACAGATAAAAATAAGAAAAATTTAGCGAATTTGTCTACTGTTTATCATGTTACCGAAGATATCAATTCTAGAGAGAATTTTTGAGTTTCTGACAACAATTAATCTCTTTTTTTTCATCCCAAAAAATCTGTCTGTCAATTTCTCAACAAATTAAGAAATATCATATTATTAATTTAATATCTTACCTTGCTCTATATCATTAATAGGGTCACCATTCTCATCTTTTAAAATAAATTCAAAGTTGCCAATGCATATACTTGCATTTCTGCATGATATTCAATGCCATAATCCGTTCGATTTAAAGGAATTTTCATAATGGATCATATTAAAATTCAGATAGTATCTCAGATAATCTTAACATATCTTAAAAATGGAATAAGAGATAAATATTATTTGAAGTGTGGCAGTTTAATGTTTTTTTTTTAAAAAAAAAAAAAGAAACTCCCTAATTAATACTTTACCTCACGATTAGCATAAAGAAATCCTTATTTACAATGTACATTATAAAACTGAGTAAAACATTTGATTTCACCATCGGCACTTATAGGATGTAATCTCAAGAAATTATTATTTGCTTTTAATAACCATGTAAGTTTAACACCATTTACAAATACTTTATTATATTTATCAACATTATAGAAGGGTATTATTTTCCGTAATGTTGATGCAAGTCGAAAATTTTGTTTCTCTATTGCATCATCAAATTTGTCTATATCATTTTTATTAGGTTCTTGTTGAATAGATCTTTTAGAGACAGGTTTATCATAAATATCACTATAGATAGTCTTGTGTGATATATATTTCTGAGAAACTCGTAAAAATCATATTGCAAAATGTTCAGACAATTCAGCTTGTGATTGTGATTTTGAAAAGGATCAAATACATTGCTACTGGAAATATATTGATAGGCTTTATATATAATTATATCTCCTATATTAATATGCGCCTATGAAATATGATGGGACTTTTGTTATATCTGATATATTTAACAAATGCAATAAAAAAAATGAAGTTTACAACTAAATAAGATTCATTTAATCTCTTTCCGAGATTTATCAATAAAATTCCTTTTATTTCAGATTTCTGTGATGTAGAATTTAAATTCTGTCGAGAGGCAAAATCGACAAAAACTATTGGCAACAAGTCAAAATGCAGGAAAAGAAAAACCTCTTCGAATTTAAAAAGCTTAAAAATCTAAATAAATTAATTGTAAGAATTAGAATTATTAGATTTACAACATTACTATATATTTCTTGACGTGAAAAAAATTTACGATAGTTATATAATAATAAAGAACCATCCTGTTTAAATAACATACACTTCTTTCACTTTTTCAACTTTACCGCTAACATTTTCTTCACCTATAACTTGTGATGTTTCATCCAATTTAACTTTTCATCTATTTCCATAGAATTTTCTTTGCCTTCATTTAAGTTCTGAATTTCAAAACCTTTACATAAATCATCAAATTCATCATCATCCAAGTTTATAGTGAAAAGTATGTAATTGTTTTGTTTTTATTATTAGACTTTAAAAGAGAAAGTTTTTGAGTTGCATTTTTAATAAAAGAAAAAAGTTCTGAATTATCTCGATATATACAACAAAATACTGTCAGAATAACCTATTAAAAACATTAATTAAACTAAAGTAAATTTACTACAAAAAATAAATTTTATGTAAACTGTAAAAAAAAAAAAATAAAAAAAGACTATCTCATATTAATTCATTCGGGCTGTAAACATGCTTTAATGTTTTTTGTTCTTTAATCTACTTTCATCAATGCAATATCTCCATTATCAAAGATAAGAGTATCTCATACAATAATTTATAATCTGATATCTTAAGAAAACTAGTACCAGATTTTCTATCTGTTATAAAGTGATGATTTTTTTTGTTGATCAATCGATTAATTTAATTTCTGATATTTATTTATCTGGATTTTTTTTTCGATTGAATTTAACTATTATTTTTTTTATTTTTCGATTTATAAACTTTAAATACTAATATTCTAATTTTTTTTTTAGGTTAAACTCTGAAGCTTCTTAGAATAGCTAATGAAAGATAAGATGTTTAATTAAAATATGAAGATTGTATTATTAAAATATAATAATACTAACATTTTATTCCTTTTTTTTGTAGGTTAGATTCTGGAGTTTCTTGAATAGTCTTTTGATAGGTGATTTAAGATTTTATAGGTTCGATCCAGAACTTCCTAGAATGGTCCTTTGATAGGTAATTAAAAATGAAAAATAGTGATATTTTCTTTTGTTATAGGAATAATATTAAAATTTCATTCCTTTTTTTTATAGGCTATATCTGAAGCTTTTAGAAACAGTCCTTTGATAGGTGATTAAAGATGGAATAAGGAATATATTTTTTTTTATAGAAATAATACTAATATTTTATTCCTTTTTTTATAGGTTAAATCCTGAAGTTTCCTGGAATGTTTATAATTAAATTTTATCAATAAATTATTATAGTAGTATAAAAATATACAATTCGATTTACAATTCATGTAATATATTTTAATAAATTGATTATTTTTTTATATTTTTTGCTTCCAACCACGGCATTTTATTTGATTTTATTTCAACAAAAAAATATAATGTGCGTGTTGTTTATTTTAATACACATATATACATACTTATATATACATAAATTTATATACTTAATTCAGTATATTATTACTAGAATAGTTAAATAAATTAATTAAAAATTTAATATATTATTCCTTTTACAATAATAAATAATAAATAAATATACACTAACCTTGTTACTTATACAAATTTTTTAATTAATTCTTCCATATTATAATCATTATCATCATCTTTATCATCATCAGTTTCATTATATTTTTCAAATCTAGACATATCTACATGATCGATAATAATAATTGGTTCCAAATTAAATTATTTTACTATTTTTAATTCTTCTTCTATATCTATATTTACTACTACTACTACTTCTTTTGCTCTTAAACTTGATAAAATACTTATTTTATCATCTTCTTTAACTATTTCTTCGTAACTTTCACTTAAAGATATTTCAACCATTTTGATAATTTCTTCTTCTTTTGTTAATTCATTATTATATTTCCCATATAATAACAATATATTTTTGCTGTTAATTCTATTGTAGTAATAGATAATTGAGTCTGCCTTTTTCCATAAATCCATCCTACAGAAGACTTATAAAATAAATTATTAATATAACAAATTTAATTAATTTAATAATGAAGTAAATTAACATACTATATTCTTTCACAACTTGCTGCATGTAAACTTATTGAAAATAATCGAATTGCAAAATTTTGCAATTGATTTTTGCAGAAAAACATGTGTTCTAGCATTTTAATGGATTATCTTCTCCATGAAGATAAGACATATTAAATGGTACTTCATTTAATTTGTAACTTCTTAATTGACTAATTAATTCATTATAATCTTTTTTTTTATAACCCATTATTTTATAGATATTACCAGCTTTTATTAAAATTTCTAGTATACGAATATCAGGAATATCCGATCCTATATTAAAATATTAAATATTATAATTAAAAATTATTAATTAAATAATAAATTTAAAAAAAATATATAAACCTTTAAAACGTGAGTGCAAAATAATGCAATTAAATAAATATCATCATTAAAATCATTAAATCTAATAATTATATAAAATAAATAAAACAAATATTTATTATTATTATTATAAAATATAAAACAATATTTAAAAATTTACCTTTTATTGTATTTTTTTATACAATAATTTTTAAACATATTATAATCAAAACTTGATAAATTTTGATACAAAATACCAATTCTTAATAATTCAACAAAACAATCTGCTAAATTGGCATTTTTTCGTTTTAAAAATAATATTGCTTGTTTGATTGGAAATAATATATTGGTAAGTGCTTCAATATTGTTAAAAAACCTTTCCTATTAATAATTGATTTTACAGCTTCACTTGTTATTTTATCACGATACTTTTCATAGATCTATTAAAATTAAATATTAAATTATTAATAAATTATTAAATTTTAATATTAGAAAATATTTATTTACTTCGATAAAATAACTTTTAAGTTATAAAATTGATGCTATACATTCAGCAACAATAATCCATCTAGTCTTAACATATGTTTTTAACTCTCCTCCTAAAATTTCATTTTTTACAATTGGTTTTTCAAATAAATCACCGCATTGATGTGATTTTTTAAAATAACTGACTAAAATATTACAATATTTTATAATTTTTGCTGCAAAATTATGCTGTAAGATATCTTGTGAAATAAGATTCATATAGTGTGCAATACATCGAACATTAAAGATTTTTGGAATTGTACTGAAATTAATTATTGTGCTAATAAAACATTAGGCTCATTATTGGTTACTATTGCACAAAATTTACTAATACCAATCTTATTAAGAATTTTAAGAATCTCTTCTACAATTAATTCTTCAGTATGTGATACTTCTGATAAATCTTTAATTTGAAATAAATATTCTTTTTGAGTTAGTGTAAAAATTACAAAATTCCATAAAGAACGACCTGTAGATAATATCTATTCATCTAGTGCTATAATTTAAATTATTAAAATTCTAGATATTTATTTATTATAATTATTATAGCTACTGTTTTGTATATTTATTATTTTTTTTAAATTAAAAATGTTATATTATCGTTATTATTTTCTTTTATTAAAAAAATAAAATAATATATATTTATATATTTACCTAATGTTAAATTATTTGTAATTTATAAAACTTTTTCAACTTTTAGATTAATTCTTGCTAATTCTTATTCAAAAAGTTCTGTTGCTAGTTTTTTCTTGATGGAATAACGTATCCTCCACATAAAATTATTAATAAATCCATAAAAAAAGAATTTTCAATTATAGCAAATGTTATATTACAACAAACAAATACTTTAATTAACGTACTATCTATTATTTTTTGTCTGCTATTTGTTATTTTACTATTATCATAATGTTGATGCATATTTGTTTGATTTGAATCAATTTTTATGTTTTGTATTATTTTTTGATGTTTGTTCATTATTTAAAATAACTGTTTCGTTTGCAACTTCTTTTGCAAATATAAGTGCTATATTTTTAGGATATTTTTCACAATAAGAAGCTAAATGTTGATGCATTTTTTGTGATCTACCTTCAGCTCATTCAAAATGATAATATATATAAGTAGCTTTATAATATTCATAAGTTATTTCTATTTCTTTAGTTATATGTTCCCAAACTGAAGTAAATTTTCTTCCACCTCCTTTTTTTTTACTTTTACTATCATTTGTTTCACCAGTATCTTTTGAAGAAAGATTGAATATTTCAGTATTATCAACAAATGGTAAAAAATTTAAAGTATCTTTATTCATATTTATTTAAAAGTTTCTTTAAAAAAAAATAATAAAATAATTAATTAATATGATTTTAATTGCGGCAATTATAACATTTGCAACATTTGATTATGCATAACTTTTTTAAATTGTAACTTAATTGCATTTTATACTTTAAGTTGCAGCTAATTAAATCTTATACTTTAAGTTGCGGCTAATTGCAACTTATATTTTAAGCTGCAGTTAATTGCATCTTATACTTTAAGTTGCAGCTAATTGCATTTTATACTTTAAGTTACGGCTAATTGTATCTTATATTTTAAATTACGACATAATTTTAATTATAACAAATTATAACAAATGTTGTAACAATATTATAAAATTTTATAATTATAACATATTGTTAAATTAATTATGGTATTGTGAACAAATAAAATATGATAGGATCTATATGATGCGACAAATCTAACAAATCTGACATTTCTGATATGTCAGACATATATGACATATCTGACATGATCAACAAATAAGATATATTAGACAAATTCGACATATATGACATATTTGACATATAAGATATATTAGACATATTAGTTATATCTTTCTATATACTGTATTTTATATAAATAGATAGTTTTTTAGACTATATAAAAAGTAGGATTTGACAAGTTAGTTTTTAGTAGTTTTAAGAGACAAACAGGCCTATTGTGTTATATTTTAGTTTTATATTTCGTTTCTTTATTTTTCCTTTTCTTTTTTTTTTCTCTTGTCATATCTTTATTTTCTTTACTTCAATTTCTTATCTTATCAATAAACATTTTACTTGAAAATATAATTACTTGATACCTCGTGAATTGTTGATTGTGAAATACTCATATAAACTTTGACTTGAAACCTTTACTTAAATTAGCCGTGATAATAAACTTATAAAAGCCTTAAGATTACTACGTACATTAAAAAAAAAAATAACATTCTGACACCCTGTCTAACAGTTGTAGTTCACAAGAATTACACATTAACAGTATCATCTTTAATTAGTACATTATAATAATTAATATAAAAATTAGTACAAGTACAGTGTTAATTTTATCTAATACATACAAAATTTTCAGTTCTGACTATGGCTTACACCTAGTTTATATTTTTTATATAAGTTAAAACAAATCTTATCGGTCAAAATGCTTGATAATCTATTTAATTAGTATGATAATTCAGATATTCAAGAGTTAATATTTTATCAGATTTGATTATATTACTTTTTTATATAATTATGAGTCAGTTTAAA